TCAATTTTTGCGATTTTTGTATAGCAACTATCATAAAAAGAACACCCATATATTCTGCAAACGCGCGTGTGTTTCTCAGCTGCCTTCGATTAACTAGCTTGAGGCGGTACTGGCTTGCGAGATTTTGCCTCCCTCACTTCTCCCATTAGATACAGGACTATATACGTCCTCTAATGGGTGCTGCGTCTTCCCCGTCCCCACCCGTGCCCTCTCTCCTCCACTACTCCCACGTTTCCACACTATCACTCATCCTCACGATATATCTGTCCTGGACGTTTATGCACGACTAATGTGCGAGTAGGAAGTAGGGTAATCTTGTACTTATATAAATAGTCGGCTGCTTATTCAAGGGGGCCGGTACTGAAGCAACTTCATCCGTGTCCAGATCCCTGGCTTGTGCCGAGATGCCTTGACGCTTCGCTATTGCCGCTTTTTCTCCAAGCGGGAGAGAAAAACAGTGTGCTGTATAGATAGGGCAAGCACATGGAGCCGCCTCCGGCTGCAGGTTTTAGGCCGCGACGGGACGGGAAGATGCGTCAGGCTGCCCAGCGCTTAAGGTCGTGGCAACCAGCAACGCCAGCAACCAGGCAACAAACAAGAAGGCTCTTACAAAGCACCTGCGACCTGACCTACCCTCCCCTGCCTGCAACACATGGCAGTCGCCGCGCCGGCTCCAATGTGCTCTCTTCCTTAAAGAGACAGGGCCAGTGAAGGCAGCACACCCCTGTTTTTTCTCTCCTCCATCTCCTTCTTCGCCCGCTTAGGAGGAAAGCGCCAGAGCAAAGCAAAGCAAGACAAGCAGCCCACAGCCAGGGACTTGGCACGTAAGTTGCTTCATGACGCCCCTGACTGCAGCCGAGTTATTACAGTACTTCACTCCCCTGTATGCAGCCGACATGTGTGAAGGAACGGCATTCAGGAGATTCTTTCTTGACGTTTATTCTCCATATCGTGAACTATAGAGGCTCATTCGATCACTAAGAGAGGTTGTTGGCCACTCAACAAGGAAACTACGGCGAAAGTAGGGTTTTCTATTATCCCTGTGAAATAACTGTCCAGGAGGATGGCAACAAGGAGAAAGTAACCCTTGTCTGTGGAACCCAGGCAATTAGGGCAATGCTCTGCCGAGTGTAGCACAACGCGGGTTTGATGTAGCATTGCAGATCAGTGAGAATGCTGCCATTGCACCTTGATTAGCATTGAATGGCCTCGCAGCTTCAAAGCCTGGCTGTAGAAGGTCCAGGGTGGGAGAAAGAACTCTTGTCTGTTGGAGGCAAGTGTGAATGTTGCCATTGGACAGCTTGATTGGGATTAAATGGCCTTGTAGCTTCAAAGTCTGGGTCCTTCCTGCTCAGGGGAATCCTTTGTTGGGAGGTGTTAGCTGGGTCTGACTCAAACCCGCTATGTCTGTATAGTAGGCCTGTGCGGTTTCGTTTTCCATTTTAAAATAATTTAATCCCTCTCCCCCCCCTCCCTCCCCCTTCCTTCCTTCCTTCCCTCCCCCCCTTCCCTCCCTTCCCTCCTCCCCTCCCTCCCTTTTTTCCCTCTCCCTTCTTCCTTTCCTCTCCTCTCCCCTTCCCTCTCCTTAATCATAGAATCACAGAATCATAGTTGGAAGAGACCTCGTGAGCCATCCAGTTCAACCCCCTGCCAAGAAACAGGAAAATCGCATTCAAAGCACCCCTGGCAGATGGCCATTCAGCCTCTGTCTAAAAGCCTCCAAAGAAGGATCCTCCACCACACTCTGGGGCAGAGAGTTCCACTGCTGAAGATTTTTCCCTCCTTTCCTGGCTACCTTTTGTGAAGTGTGTAAAAAGTATTAACAACTCTATATGCATTTTGGATGTCTGCTTTTCACAAAGGCCTTGTGTAGGTGGAGTTCTCCCACTTCCCCCTTTCCCCCTTCCATTAGGAGTACTTCACCAAAAAACAAAACAAAACAAAAACCTCCTGTAAGTGCTGCACGTGTGACTAGCCCCCTCTCCTTGCTATCCCCCATCCCAAATTCATCATGTTATATACAAATGCTGCTATTTCAAATTCTTACAAAATATTTGGTCCCAAACATTTCAGATAGACCAACCTGTAGCATACTGTGAATATTAGTTAGAATATGCCAAGACTAAAGAAGAAGGAAATAAGCAGGGTGAACAGGCTGCAAAATTTCAATGTATGCCCCCATCCCCCTCATTATATTATGCTACATTATGTATTCCCTCATACTATATTATGCATTACTGACAGCAAGGTGTGCATTTTGGGACCTGTATTTCCATTTTCCATTTTAGTAAAGCCCGAGTAAAGTGAACATTAGAAAGATTAATCCTGAAAGAAATGTATGATGTGTTTTGACATCTCCTTTTTCAAGTGTTCTTGTTAGCCATACAACAAACAGTGTTGACTTCAGACTGCTTAGGTGTCCCCATAAAAATGATGAATTCTAGCCTCCCTATATAAGAAAATATATTATTAAATAATTTTACTTGCATTATATTAGCTTCACAAAAATATATTTTCTCCCTTATGTATGAGGAAAATGGCACTAATTAATTTTTTAGTTCTATGACCACATCTTCTAATAGCATACTAGGTGGTCTCAGTCCTTTCAACTGGGCTGCAGAACAGGGCCACCTACAGGCAAAGTAGCTGTTTCCACAAACTCAGTGGGAAACCCAGAAATATAGCTTTGGAGAGGCAAAAGGGCACATTGCCCTCCCCAAAAAAAGAATTCTGCTTAGCAAATTAATTTTTTCTTCCAGTCTTCAAATTTCTAACAATTTTAAAAGAACTTCAGCTGAGCATTTGGAAATACAGTTCAGGTATGCAAATAAAAAGGAGAAGGCAAAGTGATCATGGAGATGCACATACAACAATTATAAGAATGGTTTTTATTGTCTTACTGTCTGGAATGCTAGAAAATTGGGAACCAAAGAAAAATGCATTTGCCAATATCTTATTTTATCCCCTCTGACAAAGGTGCACTTTTCAGAAACCCCGTGTATGGTTTCCTATCCTCCCTTCTCTACAGTATGTTATGAGATTTTGAGGACTCAAGGGCCTAAACCCTCCACCAGAAAAGTGTATTTCCTCCTGTCTCCTCTACAAACTCCCTTTCTCAGTCCCATGAACCTTAACAATGCAACAAGACTCTTGATCCAAACTCACTGAAACGAGAATAGAATTTCTCTTGTTAGAGATGAGAAAATATGGAATTTTTGTTACTTATTATACCAAACAGCAAATGTGTTTGTCCCTTCCCTTTCGGCTATTCAGAAAAGCAATTTGCTATCATGTAGCAAGAACCATTATGGCCAAAGTAATGGTTTCTGAATACTCAAGGGGTTCATTATGTATGTAGGAATAATCTGTTTATTTAATGTTTTAATGTTTCTGTGTGAAAAAGAAGAAACTCAGAGCAATTTGCTGTGTACCTAGCATGGTCATTACTCCCCCTCCAGGAGAATGGGACTTTGAGGATGCTACTTGAAAATAATAAGAGAAAGGTAGGAGGCCTAGTCTGACCAACTCCTCATACATTATGGTACTCAAGAGCTGGGAATTTGGGTAACAAATCCATTCCCCCAATAAATCAGGCTGCTGAAATCTTTCAAGCCCGTAAAAGCCTGAAAAAAAAAGTAAACCAAGAAGACAAAGCACTCTATTTTTCCATGTATCTCCTATGGGCCTTTAAGCTATGACTGTAGCTCACTCTCTAAAAAGTATCCTGGAATAAAATTAAAGTTGTGGATGTCAGGTGGGATTTGGGGGGCTCTCTAGTTTTTAAATGTAATTTTAATTGTATTTTAATGTATTTGAACTTTTATACTCATGACACAATTTTTTTAAATAATTATATTTATATGTATATATATTTGCATTCTTTTTGAAATTATATTGTGTCATATCATTGTTAACTATCTTTAGTCCCTAAAGGGAGATATATGGGATAAAATAAATTATGATGAAGTGCATAATCAGGCAGTATTCCCTTATTCTACTTTTCCACCCCATACACTGCATGGAAAGGTAAATACTTCTATCCCACTTTCATCCAGTTTTGGGGAGCTAGATATACTGTTGTCTGTAGGATCACTCTAACCTTCATCATCACAATTATAGGGCAATTTCACAATATTACTCTGCTAAGGTTTTTGATAAGGTGAATGGAATATTCACCTTATCAAAAGGGAAGAGAAGGCCCTGCTCTTGATCCCGCCTGCTTCTCAGGCACGTCTGGCAGGGACGAGAGACAGGTCCTTCTCTGTGGTGGCCCCCCAGATGTGGAACTCCCTCCCTAGGGATATTAGATCAGCCCCTTCCCTCCTGACTCTCCGAAAAAGAGTAAAAACTTGGCTCTTCAAGCAAGCATTCGGAACCCCGGAGTAAACAGACAAACTAGAGTTGGAAATTTACCCAGGAACGGCCAAGACAATGTAACGGATGAATATTTGAACGAGAGGGCATAGTTTCTTTTTAAATTGTTTATTATGCACTGTTGTTTATGTTTAATTGCACTTGATGTTATTGCTTTATCAATGTATGTATTTTGTTTTGGCATCGAATTGTGCCGACTGTGTATACTGCCCTGAGTTGCCTTCGGGCGGAAATGGGCGGGATAGAAATAATGTAAATAAATAAATAAATAAATATAACTCATCTACTCCTGGACATCAGCAATTTCACATATTTGTGCCATATGCTTTACACAGAAAGGGCATTTTTTCTACATTTAGACTCTTTTATGAAGCATGAGGGGAAGTCATAGGGAGGAGGGAGCAGGCTAGTTTTCTGCTGCCCTGAAGACAAGGATGTGGAGCGATGGCTTTAAACTACAGGAAAGGAGAGTCCACCTGAACATTAGGAAGAACTTCCTAATTGTGAGAGCTGCCCTGGAGTGTAGTGGAAGCTCCTTCTTTGGAGGTTGGCCATCTGTTGGGTGTGGTTTTGAATGCAACTTTCCTGCTTCTTGGCAGGGAGTTGGACTGGATGTCCCATTAGGTCTCTTCCAACTCTATAAGCCCTAGCATCTGGTCTATTATCTCATTAATCCATTATACTTCTTTTTTTAAAAAGGAGGGTTCCTTGTAACAAAGTATAGGTTAAAGATAAAGGTTTTCTCTTGACATTAAGTCTAGTTGTGTCTGACTCTGGGAGTTGGTGCTCATCTCCATTTCTATGCTGAAGAGTCAGCATTATCCATAGACACCTCCAAGGCCATGTGGCCAGCATGACTTCGTGGAATGCTGTTACCTTCCTGCCAGAGCAGTACCTATTGATCTACTTACATTTGCATGTTTTTGAACTTTTAGTTTCGCAGAAGCTGGGACTAACAGTGTGAGCTCATGCTGCTCCCTGGATTCAAACCTGCAATCTTTCAGTTAGCAAGTTCAGTAGCTCAGGGGTTTAACCCACTGTGCCACCGGGAGCTCCAACAAAGTATTATTTTAGAAAATAACACAGTTCTGCTTTTGTCATTCCAATAAAAATATCAGAGGACAAACCAACCCAAATCTACTTGGAAGGTACAAACTTGGTACTGTCTTGCCCCCACCTGGGACTATTTCACAACTTATGTTTCCCTCTACAAAGGAAATTGTCTTCTGTGGTTAAAACAGAAGACATGCACAACCCTCTCAGACATACACAGCAATTGCACATGTGGCTATTCAGCTCTGGACACAGACCTTTATAGAGAAGAGCCCTGAGAAACACCGATCTAATGATGTTCACATAGACTTCAAAGTGTTGCAAGCCATTGCAAACCACCAGGTACAACAACACAAGAAGACAAAAAAAAAAGGACAGTCTTATGAAGCTACATAATGGTCCTTAAAGCTTTGAAATAAATGAAATTATCCCAACAGGGGGAGAAAAATCAAGGAGTTATCAGTAAGAAGCTGTGACTGTAAGATGATTTTCTTCTTCTTAACTAGATCAGATCCAACTCACACTTCCATCTATCTCATACCATTTCTGCTGTCAGTCAAAGCCTCTGGCAAGATACGGGATCACAGAGCTGGCAAAACTCCTGGGGAAAGATCAGTTTAAGAATTTAAAAACCATATTCATGCTAGAGTTGAGCATGAATGTGCTGGAGCTCTCTGTTTCCTCAAGAAGAATAGCTGTATTAATACTGTAGACTCTGAGTTAACCAGCACCCATAGGGATTGGTAGATGCCAAATAAATGTGATTTCTGGTTGCTTGCGAGTAGCAATTAAAAATAGGACTAATGCCCTGTATTATACCACACTATTCACACTGTATTGGCAACATTAATATTGAAACACAATAATTAAAAGCAACATTTTTGCCAAAAATCATTTTTATTTAATGAATAATTTCTTCAGTATTTTTCCCTATTGCTTGAGAGTTCCAGTTAACTAAGTTTACTGTATACACAGATGTGTGTGTGTATCTATCACCTCTCTCCCATGGACATGAGAGAAGCCTCCCCATGGATGGTAAAATCCAGGTGTCCCCTGGGTAAAGTCCCTGCAGACAGCCAATTCTCTCACACCAGAAGTGACTTGCAGTTTCTCAAGTCACTTCTGACATGATAAAAAAAACCTCTCCCTCCTCAACTCTCTCTTGTGTCTGCCTTCCTCCTTCCTTCCTTCCTTATTTTTACCTTCCTTCCCACCCCTTCCTTCTTTTTTTCCTTCCTTCTTTTCCTCCTTCCTTCCCTTTTTCCTTCCTTCCTTCCTTTCCTTCTTCCCCCTTCCTCCCTCCCTTCTTTCCTTCCTTCCCTCCTTCTTTTCCTTCCTTCTTTGCCTCCCTCCTTCTTAGCTTTCTTCTTTCCTTCCCTCCTCCTTCTTTCCTTGCTTCTTTCCTTCCTTCCCTCCTTTCTTCTTTCCCTCCCTTCCTTCTTTTTTCCTTCCTTTCTTCTTTCTTTCTTTCTTTCTTCTTTCCTTCCTCTCCCTCCCTTCCTTCCTTCTTTCTTTCTTTTTCCTTTCTTCCCTCCTTTCCTTCCTTTTTTCCTTCTTTCTTCCTCCTTCCTTTCTTCCTCCCTTCCCTTCCTTTCCTTCTCTCCTTCCCCCCCCCCCCCCCCCCCCAGCTGCCTGGTCTCTCCATGCCTCCTTCTTTGCATGTTGCATAGAAGTGTGGTGGCAGCCTCCTCCAGGATAAGCACCATGGAGATTTCCCTCTTCCTTCCCAGCAGATGCTCCTAATGTCGCCTCCGTCACAGACCGGACTGTCTTGCAGCTTGCCTTCTGCTCCCCTCAATGCGAGCTAACCCCCGCCTGCCTCCTCCTCGCCCATCTTCCTTCTGCTCCAGCCTCGGGGCGAATTGAGGACACGCTCCTTGTCGCTGGACACCTGGGAGAAGTAACCTGAGGCCAGTCGGAATCCGAGGGACTGTCGCTCTCCCTCCGCATTTCCCTCTCCTCCTTTCTCCTCCTGTCTTCTGCAATCCTATGCACACTTACCTAGGAGTAAGCGCCCTTGGACCCAGTGGGACTTACTGCCGGATAAACGCGCATAGGATGGCAAGACTCGGGGGAAGAGGCCGCTCAGCCTGACAGTCCCATCATCTCGGGGGAGGCTCCTCTTCCGCCTTCGCTTCTCCGGGGAAAGGAACGGGTTCCCCGTCTCCTAGGAACCACACTCCCCATTAAAACAAAAAGCCTTGCACGGGACGGGTCCCCAAAAGCGCGCGGCCCCCTTTTCTATGAACGGGAGAGAAAGCCTTCCAGTGAATGGCAGACTTCCCAGTCCGAGGAGGACACGCCCCCTTCTTTGCTCGCTCTCTCCACCCCGCCCCTCATTGACTTGGAGGGCGCGCGCCCCCGGGGACCAATGGGAAGCCCCCTTCCTTCCCTCCCTCCCTTTCTCGCCTCTGTTGCAATTCTCTTTCTCTCGGAGATAGTATCAGAAAATTACCCTCACCGGGGATAAGGAGGAGGAGGGGGGAGGGGGCGTGGTCTGCGCGCCGAGGGGGCGTGTCCTCCGAGGCTTGGCCCCGCCTCCTCTCGCCGCTCTCGGTCCTGGAGCGCCGCTAGGCTGCCAGAGGGGAAGAGCCACCTGCTTCCCCGCAGTCGGAGCTGGGCGCCCTCGCCGCCGACACCGCGACGAAGCCTCCCAACTTCGCCTTCCCTTCGCTCAGAGAGACAGGCTGGGAAAGTTACGGCACTGCTGTTGAGTTGAGGAGGAAAGAAGAACCGGGGGAAAGGGAGTGTCGGGAAGGGAAAGCGGGTGAAGAGAGAGAGAGAGTCCCGTCTCTTCCTCCTCCTCCTCCGAGTCTTCTTCGTCTTCTTCTTCTTCCGAAGCCGCTGTCTGCCTTTGCGGGGAGGCGGGATGGAGACCCCCTCTGCCGCCGCCACCACCACCGCCTCCTGCTGCCGCCGCTCTCCGCTCCTGACGGGTCTCCTGCGGCTATGGCTCCTCCTCGGGGCCCTTTGCCTGCGCCCAGGTGAGCCACGCGTGCAGGTCGGGGAAAGAGGCGCCTTGCCTTCGCTTTCTCCCTTCCCACCTCCCGGCTGAGGGACTGCCGCTCCCTCGGAACCCAACCGCCGTTCTTCCCCGAACGCCTCTCTCTCTCCTCCGCCCGGCTGCCCTACCTTTGCCTCTTTCTCCCTCGCGCTTTCTAACCTGAGATCTCAATGGAGATGGGTTTTTTTTTTGGGGGGGGGTGTTAGAGGAGGGGTCGTGTTTGTAATGTGTGTGCGCGCGAGCCCCCTCCAGGTCGCCCGCCCGCCCTCTCTCTCTCTCCCCCTCCCCACTCTCTTTTCTCTCCCTCTCCCCCCGCTCTTTCCTCTCTCTTTCTCCCTCTCTCTTCTATCACTCTTCGCACCCCTCTCCCTCCCTCTCCGCACACTCAAGCTCTCAACTCTCCCCCTTTCTCTTCTCTCTCCCTCTCTTTTCCCCTCTCTATCTCCTCTCTCCCCCTCTCTTCTCCCTCTCTCTTTCCTCTCCCCTCTCCCTCCCTCTCCCCCTCTCTTCCCCCTCTCTCCTCTCTCTTTCCTCTCCTCTCCCTCCCCCCTCTCCCCTCCCTCCCTCTCTCTCCTCTCCTTCCTCCCCTCCCTCTCTTCTCCCCCTCTCTCTTTCCCCCCTCTCCCTCTCCCTCTCTCTCTCTCCCCTCCCTCCCCTCCTCTCCTTTCTCTTCTCTCCCTCCTCTCCTCTCTTCACTCCCCCTCTCTTTTCCTCTTTCTCCCTCTCTCCCCTCTACCTCCCCCTCCTCTCCCCCTCTCTCTCCCCCTTTCTCCTCTCTCCCTCCCCTCTCTCTCTCCCTCTCTCCTCCCTCTCCCCCCTCTCTCCCACTCCCCCTCTCTCTTTCTCTCACACTCCCTCTCCCACTCTCCCCTTCTCTCTCTCCCTCTCCTCCCTCTCCCTCTCCCTCTCCCTCTCCCTCTCCCTCTCCCTCTCCCTCTCCCCCTCTCCCCTCCCCTCTCTCCTCTCTGCTCTTCCCCTCTCCTCTCTCTCCCTCCCTCTCTCCTCTCTCTCTCACCTATCTTTCTATCTCTCTTTTCTCTCCCCCTCTCTTCTCTCTCTCTCTTTCTCTCTCCTCTCTCTCTCTCTCTCTCTGCCTGTTGCAAACCCTTGGGGCGCAAGTGGGGCTACCAGAGTAAAGCTACAGGGGTGTTTTTCGGGGTGTTTTTCGGAGCATTCCTTCATATATATATATAGAGAGAGAGGAAGGGGACAGGAGCATACCATGGGGTGTGTATGTCCCAGCTCTCCACTTCTTACTTTCAGATGTTTTCTTTCATATTATCGATCCATGGGTGTGTATATACCTTCATATGCATATGAAGGAGGAGAGACAGTCACATACCCACTCCGGTTGCATGCACCCCCTAAAATATGTGAGAGATAGATAGATATAAAAGGTAAATGTTGTTCGTGTCTGACTCTGCGGGGTGGTGGTGCTCATCTCCATTTCTAAGCTGAAGAGCCGGCATTGTCCCTAGTCACCTCCAAGGTCATGTGGTCAGCATGACTGCATGAAGCGCTGTTACTTTCTCACCAGAGCAGAAAGTAGTGCTGATCTATTCACATTTGCATGTTTTTGAACTGCTAGGTTGGCAGAAGCTGGGGCTAACAGCAGGAGCTCACCCCTGCTTCCTGCATTCAAACTGCCGACCTTTTGGTCAACAGGTTCAGCAGCTCAGTGCTTTAACTTGCTGTGCCACCGGGGGCTCCCCTCACATATTTTAGGGGGTGCATATATATATAGATAGATATCTCACATATTTTAGGGGGTGCATGCCTCCTGCTTTTCTATTTCTTCTTTTCAGATCTTAATATATTACATTAGATCATATCATATTATATTATATGTCCTATATATATATGGAGGGGCCTTCCTTCACATGCATATAGAGGAGCAGGGGACACATATTTCCTTAACATTCAATATATAGACATATGTGTTGTATATCTTTTTGAGTGGACATGTGTGATGTGTCTGCGTGCTTTCAGATCTTATCCTTTTGAAGCTCTTGTTTAATATGCAAACATCTGGGAGAAGTCTCCCTGAGATTAGTGCTTTTGTTTTTGTTTTTACTTCCGAGGAAGTGCACTTAGGATCAGGTGCCACGACATTTTGCATTGAGAGTCCAAAATCACTTCACTGTTGCTGTTTTACATTCACATTAGTATGCGTACAATCAGTGCTAAATCTTTCTCTTTGCTGGCTTCACTATCTTGATCCCTCACCAAAAAAGCACCCCTCTAGATATTAATGTGAAAAAATGATCCTGTTTTAAGCTTTTTTCTCTCCTGCACATTACAGATTGCAGGGTACATGTCTTTCTTGCGTTTTATTGTGAGAGCAAACCAAATCTGTTTCTTTTCTCCCCGAGGAGTCCTGCGAGATCTATCAGAAACAGAGAGGGATTTTCCAACTTGGGTGGGTTTCTGTTGGCTTCCGTTGAAAGTTGCCTTTCTGGTTGCGAGAGAAGGAGCAAAAAAGAGGTGACCTCACTTGCATTTCTAAAGAAACCCTTCCAGCACATGATAAGCGTGTCCTTTGTATGGGGCAGGGGAGAGGAGAAAGGGACAGGATGGGGAGCAAGGAAAGGTTGTTTAATGCTGAATGCAATAGTTCAAGAACAAGGCTTGCTGCCAACTAAGGCAGCCCTATGAGCTTAGCCTGTTCTGAGCTGGATTTTTCAGTCCTTAATGCATTACACATCCCTTTAGCAATCTTCTTAGAGAAACTTGCGATTGTATTCTATATCCTGCCTGTACTACAAGTGCCTCTGTATGCTAGGAAGCCATCCCTTGGTTTCTCTGTGGAGTGTTTCCACTTCTGCTGTTCAGTCTAGATCAGTGTGTGCATCTGTGGGTGATGCTGGAAAAGATGAGACAAATTTTGATATCACCCAGCCTCAAGAGTGTCTTAATGGCAGAATAGGCAACTCTAGATGAATCTGTGTGACTAAAAAAGCAATTTGTGTAATAGATATGGCTCTTGGGTAGGTTTGATCTTCAGGGTTGAAGACCTGAAACATAATAATAAATAATAATAAACTTTATTTATACCCTGCCACCATCTCGCCAAGGGAACTTGGGTGGCTAACATGAGGCCGAGCCTGGAAATTAAAATAATGCATACTAACAAATAATAACATCCAATAACATCAAATAAAATGCAACAATAACAAAATAATGCAATAAAATAAACACAAAAAATAAAATGATAATAGAATTGAACACAGTGGGCTGGGTCTAATGCAGAGAATAAAATTGTAAAACCCCAGGGTGAGATAGGTAAAAAGAGTAGTGTATCCAATGGGAGACTCAAGTGGGAAGCACAATGGGATTAATCTCCACTGGGGGATGGGATAAAGTGCATCAGAAGGATAATTTAGTACTGGGCTGGGCATGGTATGGGGATTCGTTGTTCATTTCTCAAACATGGGGCTCCTTATGTTCTTTTATTATTATTATTATTTGAGCCTGCATCTGTTCTCACAACAGTCTCTTGTCAAGTGTGATGTATGGAGCATTCTTATGCCAAAGCCCACCTGAAATTGTAAGACCCAACTACTTTTTGACCTCTGAACTGCTCAAATATCTAAGGTCAAGCACATCTTTTAAAGACTTTATTTTCTGAAAGTATTGCGAATGTAGTTGCTCAAGCTTACAGCCTTATTATTCTGGAGAAAACTCATTAAAATCCATTGGCATTCTCTAGTGAAGGTGAATTGCATCCAGAAGTTCAGTTCGACTGGTTATATTTTCTGCTGCTCGGGATTTCAGCAAACAGGAGTATTGAAGCGCTTTTCAAACAGGGAGTTATGTTTGTAATTTTCTGTCTGCCTAGTTGCGTATTAAACTGAACTGATTCAAGGAAAGCAAACTGATCTGCGTTCTCTATGGAGAATGTCTCATTATTCTTGTAGAAAGAGCGTCAGCCTGTGGTTACATTTTGTATTGCTCTAAGAAAGAGTCTTTGTGTGCTTGCCTTTCGAGTCAAGACAGAAGCTTTGCAGTGAACTCAAATATTTTCAGTCACTAGACTGTACATTTGGAAAACTCCCTCATTAATCATATAAAAACCAGCTTCTCACTGTGGAAATTACTGGAGTAGGTGCAGATTCCCAAACATGGGTTCCTAATTAAAGTCTAAATCAAATAATTCCACCATTCTGATGTCAATTAATGTCTCAAAGTATTGTTGAAATATTTTAAAAGCTTTCTGTTACATTATATCACTGAACACAGTATTTAATTATTATTGTGTCATGTGTTAATATTCAGGGGAACTAATTATAGTGTAACATGAAAAGGTGGGAAGTATGTCTAGGTAAGTCTGTGAATAGTGCTTAGACCAAAGCTTCAATTTTATGTGTGGAGACTTGGGAATAACCTCCACTGAACAAAGCGGGATATATTTTCAGGTAATATATTCAAGATATATTAAAAAACACATTTGTGTGCAAGACAGAGAGATCCTCTGTGTTTGTTTTATATTCTAAAGGATAAGCTTATTGATCTGAAACTCTTTTGTAGTACTCCTTATACTGTGAAATAATGCCTCTCATTTGTAATTCTGCTTAGGTGTATAATATAATTCCTTTGGAGTTCTACAACATAACATGTTGTCTTATCCCCTTAGTGTGAAGTCATCCAGTAGTATGTTACTGTTCAAAATCAACATTATTGAATACTCTTACAATATTGTCATACATAAGATGAGATAGCCATATTTGTAGAATAATAAGTTGCTTGCATCTCCTGACAAAAAAGTCACTTTCAGTATTTTATATGCTGGAAAAATTATACTTTCAACTGTGCTTCCAAAGCACTATTCTGTCCATGTTTGCTATGACATAAACCTTACTTTATTCAATCAGGCTTTCTATTAAGTGACATAGAGCATCATCCCATGGCCTTCCATTCAGTGTCACTTGCTGATCAACATGGGTAGAAATGCGATTTCATCCCAACCTTAATTGCATTATC